AAGAAGGCCTTACCATACATCCTACTTGGACCATCTATCCTAACCATTCAGTCTGATCGTATTTACAATTTCACACTATCATATTACAAATTTAAACTCTATCCTTTCTTACCATATAGGTCACACAGTTTTCATTCTTTAACAATGCACATATACATACACACAAATTTACATACTTATCACTTATGAATCACCTTGACAGAAATGACATACATCAACTTGTCCAGACCTGTTTTGATTGATCAAATATTATTCTTGCATTGTTCCATTGTACTATTTAAACTTGGATTAATTTTAATTTGGTTATTTATTCTCTGAAGAAGTGACTTACACTAAGCACGAAACGTCAGAAAAATCCAATTTTCTACTCATTGGGATATTACAAATATATTATTTTTATTTATCAATAGGAAGATTCAACAATACCAAGTGAATTTAAACTTCACCCCATTGCACAAGCATATGGTTATCAGAACTCAGTAACTAAGTGGATAACGCGATGGCATTTGAAGCGAACGGTGCTGGGTTCGAATTCTGGGGTGAACATCAACTCTAGGATGCAGGTACATCCAGATGACGAGTCCTAAGTAGACCGAAACGCGCGTCCTGGATTCCACTGTTAGTCACCATCCATCATTGCTTATAATATAACATTGCTACTGAGATACTTAATACAGATTTATATATGGTAGTGTCCATGATTTGTATCGAATTTATATGAAATTGAACTTTTTCCAAAAATACAACAACTGACACAGAAACAATGTCAATTGTTTAGGACAGAGTTTAAAAAACTGCATTGTCAACATTTGAAAAGAATTCTTATCAAACCTAAGAACGAACTCCTTACGCAAGTCAATATTTTACACCATTGGGATCAACAAAATGACTTGGAGAAATCATATGCATATTTATATCCATAATATGGAGTACACTGTTAATAGAATTTATTGTGTGAGAGTGAATGCCAACACTATATGTATGAACCTTTTCAGGTGGGAATATGCAAGAAAACTGTAACCTCATGATTAGATGTCTATTGTTTACACTACTAAACTAAAGTTCAAGTATTACTGTTGCATGATAGCTATTTGAGTAACAGTTTTAACCTGCACAGTATAAATTTGTTCTCAAAAAATGTTTGTCTACTATGAACCTGAATAGTCACTTAGTCATTCAGTCCCAATGTAGAACCTGTACGTATGTACATCGGTTCAAGTTACCATTCCTCCATTAGCACAGAGAGATAAAGTTATCAGGCCAAATTTCAAATAGAAGGGGTAACAGTATCAGTGGTAATAGGAAGATTAGCCATCGAAGATACGACTCCAGAACATAACACAACTTAGTGAAATAATGAAAGGCTGAACGAGGGATTTAGAACCTCAGAATTTGAAAGAAGACGAACAATGAATGCACCTGCCCTATTCTAAACGATTTTAGCCATGTCATTCAAAGTTTCTAACCATTGCTTACGATAATCATGCGGACCCCAACCAGGTAGTCTGTACCTATTAACATGGCTAAGTCCAATTGTCACTGACTTCATAAGCTGATGTCATGTTTTGGTTTGATCGCCCCTAGCTTTACTCCTGCACCGGAAAACATCGTCCGTTGAGGTAGGCGATGGTTGGGCATACGTCCCGATCACCTCGGTTGATGAAGATTTACGACCGCATCCATCTATTTACCACGTTTACCTAGTACTTTATCTCTACCTAAATGACTAGTTCTAAATGCACAATCTCAAGTATACATTTAGTTTTAATGTATTCTGACACTTTAGTTCATAGTAATAAAGTCACTGATCTATAATCATATACATTTTCCACCTTTTCTAATAGGTCATTTTGTTATTGTCAAATTTATTATCTAAAATCCTTTCTTTTTCAACACTTAGACTCATTTAGCATCTGGAATGGTTCTTGTCGGTCTAAAACCTGGTACTGTAACTGTTCATTTGACTGTTGAACCTGTAGAACCTTATGCAAAACAAATAATTGCTGTATCTACTGACGGTGTGTCGACTGACCGCTTACATGCTCAACTAACAATTGTTGTTTTATCACGGCTTGGACTGAGTTCACCACATCGGGAACCTCAACAAATAATTCTATCACCGAATTCCCAATTAAATTTGATTCCTTGGACTGATTTGTAAGTCTTTTTGTGAAGAAATATTTACGTTTCTCTTTATTATAAAAATATATATTATAACACCTCAATAACTCTGACTAAATCCACGTTCCATTACATGAACTACTTCCACAGCTCAGAAATTTGAAAGTTAACTGAAAACAATACTAGCAAAAATTAATAGTGGTCAATTATCATATCTAAAGATTGTTTCAATGACTATGTTGACGATTCTTCCTTTAACAATGATAGATATCATCTCACCAGTCATTTGCCTTCAAGTTTAAAACTTTTATTTTTAATGTCTTGCAAACTTGCTCAATTTTTTATCGAACAAATTATGACGTTCACATTATCTTCATCTCAAGTCTTTTGATGTCACAAAGCCTATTACACACAAATGATCTTTTTAATCTTAAAAATTATTTACATTCTTAATATAGCTTATATAGACATAGAGTTCATCGGGGACCGTCTACTGCAACTGTGCACAGACCACAACCTGTTTCTGGCTAGCACTAACTTTCGGCACAGTCATCGCCGATGTGCCACCTGGCGTCCTCCCTCTGCATCTCAAGCCTGGACTCAGATTGATCACATCGCGATCAGCTACCGCTGGCGTGGTTGTGTAAAAGACTGCCGCTCCTTTTGGAGTACCTATCTGGACTCTGACCATGCCTTGGTCTGCGCCAATCTTGCCTTACTTTTCAGTGGACAACGAAGTGACCGCCATCAACGGATTGATGTTAGCAAGCTGGTTGCAACTTCTGTTGCAAGTAAGTATCGAACCGAGCTAGCCTCTAGGCTAGCTACCACTCCACCGAAAAGTATAGATGAGCATTGGTTGCAATTGCATGACGCCATGAAAATGGCGGGAACAGTCAGTTGTGGGTTTGCGAAACGTCCCGCTTTTAAGCACTGGGTTTCTTCTGGTTCCTTACAACTCATTGAAGCCCGTCGGTCTACTCCGGGTGACCGTGAGTTTGACCATAAACGAAGGATGTTACGTAAGGAAATTGGGCAAAGCTTGCGTAAGGACCGAGAAGCCTGGTGGTCGATGCGTGCTAATGAGCTGGAAGCAGCAGCTGCATCTGGTAACTACCGGAAGCTCTTCCAGCTCATCCGAGCCACTGGCAGCAAGAAGTCTGGTGTGAGTGAAACAATCTGCGAGGATGATGGGATGCCAATCACTAACATCCATCGACGTCTTGGACGATGGGCAGAATTTTTCGAAGGGCAGTTCAACTGGCCTGCTGCTCCGGCAACATCGGTCAGACTGTCCTGCCCTCCATGGCCGGTGACGACTGATCCACCAAACGAGGAGGAAGTCCGCAAGGAACTCCAACTCTTGAAGCGTTACAAATCACCTGGCCCAGATGACTTACCTCCGGCTCTTTTTAAAGATGGTGGTGACTTTTTGACTAAGGAATTGACGACGTTGTTTACAAAGGTTTGGGAACTAGAGAGTGTACCAACGTCATGGAATGAGTCGATAGTTGTCCCTATCTTTAAAAAGGGTTCACGTCGTTCCTGTAACAACTATCGGGGGATAAGTCTACTTCCGATTGCGTCCAAGCTATTGGCTTCCGTCATACTTCGTAGGTTGTTCAAAACCCGAGAAAGATTGACTCGCGAGGAGCAGGCTGGGTTTCGTTCTGGTCGAGGATGTATTGATCATATCTTCACCCTCCGCCAAATGTTAGAACACCGCCATACTTATCAAAGGCCAACAATCGTAGTGTTTCTTGACATCAGGGCTGCCTTCGATTCGTTGGACAGGACTGTTCTCTGGGATTGTCTATTGAAGAAGGGTGTGCCTGAGAAGTTTATTAACATCCTAAAAGCCCTATATAAAAACACCTCAGGCAGAGTGAGGGCATACAACCACCTCTCTCCATTGTTCCATTCGAGCAGTGGGGTTAGGCAGGGTTGCCCAATCTCACCATTCCTCTTCAACTTTGCCATCGATGACATTCTGGAAACAGCTCTGATGAATGTAAGTAATGGTGGTGTGGATCTGTTGCCTGGAGAAAGACTTCTCGACCTTGAGTATGCGGACGATATTGTCTTACTGTGCGATAATGCCCAAGGCATGCAATCCGCACTTAATCAGTTGGCAATCAGTGTCCGTAGGTATGGTATGTGCTTTGCACCTTCGAAGTGCAAAGTACTTCTACAAGACTGGCAGGATTCCAATCCTGTACTCACCCTGGATGGTGAGCAGATAGACGTAGTCGAGAAGTTCGTGTATCTGGGTAGCTGCATAAGTGCTGGTGGGGGTGTGAGTGATGAGATCAATGCACGTATAGTGAAAGCCAGAGCGGCTTATGCCAATCTGGGCCACCTTTGGCGCCTTCGTGATGTTAGTCTGGCTGTAAAAGGTCGGATCTACAACGCGTCGGTGAGAGCAGTTTTGCTCTATGCTTGTGAAACCTGGCCTCTCCGAGTTGAGGACGTTAGACGACTCTCTGTGTTCGATCATCGCTGTCTCCGAAGGATTGCTGACATTCAGTGGCAACACCATGTCAGTAATGCAGAGGTTCGGCATCGTGTGTTCGGGCACAGAGATGATAATTCAATTGGTGTCACCATCTTGAAACACCGACTTCGGTGGCTTGGACATGTTCTCCGAATGTCGTCCCAGAGAATTCCACGTCGTGCATTATTTGCCGACTCTGGGACTGGTTGGAAGAAGCGGAGAGGTGGTCAGTGCATGACATGGTGTCGTGGCATGAAAGAAAGCTGCAAAGGACTGGCTTGTGTTGGTCCTTCACGACTCCCTGGTTGGGGTCTGAGAGATGGTGCTACACAGTGGCTAGAGACGTTATCAGATATGGCTCAGAATAGAAGCCAGTGGCGATCCTGCTGTAACCTTCTTTTACTTTCTTCATAAAAAGTGGTTGTGTCTCCCTTACCTGAAAGATTTCTTCTGATTGTACCTTTGCGTTCCCTGATTACTAGCACATTACCTTACACCAATCTCTTCGTTATTGTTCTCTCTTTTTTTGTTGCGCTCCTTAGCTTTTTTTTTCTTTCTTTGTATTCTCTCGAATTTTCATTGTTTTGTGTGGCGCATATATATTGGCGCTCTCTTGTACCAATATTCATGTGTCCAAATAAATAAATAGCTTATATATAAAATAAGTTAGTGCTTTCTGTTCTCTATAAACTGCATAGACCCTTTGGTACAGCAGAGCACCATGGTATCCTTTATTCAAAATGAATCAGTAATATGTTGAGAGAAAGAAGAGAAAAATTCATGATAATATCATAGATAATAAATATTAGAGAATATAGTTCACGCAATTCAGAATATTTATTCAGTCTAAAGGTGTATCCTACTATTTATGTAAAATACGATTAAAACCGCATTACAATCACCACTTGTTTTTATTCTGAACTATGTCTGATCAAAAAGTAAACCATCAGGTTGCATACTCTTGTAGACCAAATATAGGGATCTGGACTTCAATTATCCATCTTTCTACTCCATCATTTCACAAACTCTTCTACTTACTTTTCTCATTTAGTCAATATGTAATACAATACGGAATAATGTGTAGAACGTGCGTACCCCACCGAAACCTCATTTTGGTGGTAACGCATATAAAGTTATAATCTCCTCTATACCTGAGCCCTTATTATCACGCCACTTGACTTACTTCGTTCTGGACAACCGGGTAACATCAAGCCTATTAGAAGCTGAATATATAAACTTGTACCTGATTTTATTGAGTTATTAACTATTTTAACAGTTACCGACAGTAGCAAGCGTAATACACATTTATCAATTTGACGCGTTATAAGTACTGCTTATCTGTTCTTTTTAAACTGCATTACTTAATTAACAGTTATTTTTATTTCACCATTTTTCTTCCTAGACATTCTGACAGCATTTTACAATACAAGATTTTAACCGTTCCACATAATAGGAATCTATCTTTAGAATATGCTAGTCAGTTGTTAACTGTGACTCCAGATGGTATTCTACGTGCGAGTGATAAATGTTCAGAGATTGGATCAATTTGTCGAGTTACACTTCAAATTCAATCAATGCCTAATGGAAATTTAGTGCATTCAAAGTATACACATAATTTTGACAGTTCAGTTATTCAGACATTAATTTTGGATGTATTGATTAAAGTCCCACGTTTTATAATATTCTCTGTACCTCCTATTACTATTCCACAGAATGAAAGATTGTCAAAAGTAGTTGGTCTTCCTGTTGGCGGTCCATATAACATTAAAATCTCGTATCACGATGAGTTAGGGCGTGTATTTGATGCAGTTTCAAGTAGGTTCTATTTTATGATGTAATTTTGTGTTAAATATCTTAAGATCTATTTTCTGTTTTCTGTTGAATAGGAAAATTAATTTAATGAATTTTAGTTATCAGTCAATAGTTGTTTTTCTTTATTCTATGTTTTTAATGATGGTGTTAATGTATGTGTTTGGACTGTCGACAACCAGTTAGACAAATTAACATTTAATTGTATTGATTCTAAGGTTCAGTGCTGGAAACAAAATAAGTTAGTCAGTTCCTTATAAATGACTTAGTACATAAGTAAACTACAAGAAAGGGTAATATTTTCAGCCTTTTATGCTAGTTGATTTATCGGGTTAGGTGAGCATTAGTCGACCTCTGAGTAGCTACTAATGTCATGTTGATATTATCCTTAATTGCTTATCATATTCTAGGGATCAAGTTGCAATATTGACATTAATCTAGATGATTTTATTTATTTTAACACATAGATATTGGTACAAGGAGGCACCAAATAGATATGCGCCACACAAATCTCATTTGATATGTGTGAGGGCTGTGATACTGCCTGGGCGCCCAAACCGAAGCAGGTGGTTTTCTTAGGGGGCCACACCCAAAGCCTTCGACCTGAAGGTCTGATCCACAAGGCAATGGAGCATCGTAAGGATATGCAGTCTCATGGTAGCCGGTGACCAACGATTGGTTCATACGCCATTTATTCCTTCAGGATACTGAGCCCATGTGCATCATAGGTTTGGAATCAGGGTTTTCCAACTCCCTTAGGTGAACTCTCCATGTCCACCAACCCGGTTAAAGTGCCGGACATTCGCTTTTCATCCTCTCGATTTCGTGAACAACACCCCTTTACGAGAAGGCAATGAGTAGGACTTCCCTGGTAGTGGCTGTATACGCGTGGCCATGTGAGAGCATTTCGAGAGGGAGAGCGGACTCTCGGCCGTACCAGGGCGTTTGGGGCAATCTAAGTGACTCACTACCACACACTGTCTTTCGGTAGTCCGTTCTATAAAATCTCCCTCTGGAGAAGCAGTGTAGAACTCAGTTACTACTCCAGCATAATTCTAGACACTAAACCATTACTATGTTGAAAGGTTATATATCACCATATCGTTTTATTACGTGAAAAACCTACTCTTCCCAACAGTGGTTCTTGTCTCTGATGTTAAATCATTCAGATGCTTATGTCAATAATTCCCTGGTGGGCACCTATCATTCGTATCATACCGTCTCATCTATCGATCAGCATTCTTTCCTTTCGTTTTAACAATCGTTCATCAAATCTCAAAATCCTAATTCAGAACAACTTCATGCAGTATGGATCTTTAATTTAATTGTATATCATCACGTCATTATAATTTTTTTTATTTTTTATTTTTATTATTAGTGGCCTTATTCAATATTATATTTTTGATACTATGTAAAATTCTCGGCACAAGGAATTTCAAAAAGTTTCTTTGACAAGAACTATGAAAGAAACTGATAACTACATACATACATAAGTTTAGTAGATAAACTACCTGGAATTAAATGAAATGTTTTTTTTAAGATTTTATTCTATACAACTTTTTAATTAGAAACATATTTAAGAATACAATTTATTGATTAGGTCAATGCTAGCAACCTGTTTGTTACATAGTATATTTGCTAGATGAGGTATTGTAGAGCTTTTATACCTTTGTTTGCATCTGTTTATTCTAATATATTGACGTCTCGTCCTACCAGAAGTTATACAAGGAGAAAGATATGAATAAAGTGGATGGTTATTATCTGATAACACCTGCTAGGAGTTTGCATAACTTTAGATGTTTACCCTGAACTATATTACTAATGACCACAAAAGATTCACCACACACCCTGCGAACTGCCTTCAACACTCCAAAATACAGCAATTTTTCTCAAAGCCCGGAAAGAATAATAGAGAACAGTAAAGAATAATAGGTAATATGCAAGAATTGACAAATAGTAAATGTCGAGCCTGTTTATGTAGCAAGTCAAACGGAAAACGTTCTTCAATAACAATAACGCATGAAAAGACCAAAAGAGCTCATAGGAAAGAGTTACACCAAGATAACTGACCTTCGACACAGTGTCTATCAAAGATTCTCCAATGGTGCAAGCATTATTGGATTCCAACCGGGTGTTTAGGTGCTGTTCATGTCTCAGGCTAAAGTTAACAGTTTGACATTTAAACGGATTGAGTGTAAGAGCATTAACAACAGAACCCCGGTCAATAAGAAACAAAAAGCTATTCATTTAAAAAGGGATATGAAAAGGTAGAAATCGACATACGTACAATAAGATTGTCCACATATTGAACGAAAGTGTTTCTGCGGAAGATGGCAGGTCATGTATGAAAAAGAGTAAAGAAGAGGGAAACATCAACTCCTTGTGGCATACCATGAGGCAGTAGAGACCTGCTGACCTACTACGTTGAACAGTGTACCCTTCTCTTCCAAAGAGGTAGGAACATACTCAGTGGTTATCCAACAGTCTGTGTTGACGCTGATTAGCTTGTTAAGTAGTGGTTGTCTTGGAATAGAGTCAACGGCAGAAGCATTGTCCAGAAAACGCATCTAACATACTACTTACCCATTTCCAAGTTGAACGTATTATGATGCAGAACAATAGCAGCATCTAAGGTGCTTCTTTTCCATTTGTAAGCAAATCAATATAGATCAGTGTGCTGTTTTAGTGGACTGAAGTGGGAGTACCAATAATTTTTCTATTGTCTTGAGAAAAGCTGAAGTTATTGCTATGGATCTAAATTTTACATTCTTAACGCCAGATACTTTCTTAGGTATAGGATTATCTTTATCTTTCTCCACATTTTCGTCATGAGATTGGTTGAGAGGGATTTGTCAAAGATGTTCGTGAATGAATGACATAAACTGTTGGCTCACTTTTCAAAAAGGAGGTTTAGGATTTTGTCAGGTCCTAAACATTGAGACGAGTTAAGTGACTAGAGACATTCAGATACTCGTTTCAGTGAAATTTGGAACACGCCTACTCTTTAAACCTGTAGATAGGAAGCATGACATCAGATGGCTGAAGTACGAAAGATCTATTTAGGTCACAAACATTCAGCTAGTTATCGCTCCTAATGTGTCTTCCACTCTCCCCATTCTTGTTCAACTTTGTCATTGATGTACTTTTAGAGATAACACTCTCCTCATCTAAATTTACAGGGGTTGAACTTCTACCGGGAGGTTCACTTGTTGACTTAGAATATGCTGATGACATAGTTTTATTCGGCGAAGACGCTGACAAAATGCAGAGTCTTCTGACCACTCTAAGCAACAATGCAAGCATGTTCGGGATGCGATTCTCCCCCTCGAAATGCAAAATGTTGCTTCAGGATTGGGTTGCATTGACACCCGAACTAATGATAGTGAGTGAAGTGATTGAGCGTGTCGATCGCTTCACTTATCGTGGAAGTCTCATCAGCCGTTGTGGTCTGGTGTGTGACGAAATCTCAACACGGAAACAGAAGGCTCGACTAGCTTTTACCAACTTGTGTCATTTATGGCGTGGGCGAGATATCCGTCTATCAACCAAAGGACGGGTTACTGCGCAGCAGTTCGTTCCGTCCTACTTTATGGCAGTGAAACATGGCCGGTAAGAGTAGAGGATGTCCGTAGGTTACTAGTATTTGATCATAGGTGTCTTCGAAATATTGCTCGTATATCGTGGGACCATCGAGTAAGTAATGCAGTTGTTAGGAAACGGGTACTAGGTAAGGATGGCAAATCAATTGATGACGTAGTGAAACTTCATCAGTTAAGATGGCTTGGACACGTGTTATGTATCCCCAACGACCGACTGCCTCGACGTGCTATGTTCAGTGGTATAGGAGTAAGTTGGAAGAAAGATAGGGGCGGCCAGACCAAACCATGGCACAAGTCCATGAAGTCACTGACAAGTGGACTGAGTCATGTTGGTAGGTGTAGACTACCTGGTTGGGGACCGTGAGATGATAGCAACCGATGGCTAGAGACCCTGAATGACATGGCTCAAAATCGTTTGCAATGGCGCAGGTGCATCCACTCTTTGTGTTCTCCCAAATTTTGATCTCCTTATTCCTCCTTGTCTTTTTTTCTCTTCCCAAATTTATTTCACTGGATTATACTCTTTGAATAACATCTCAAAACGCTAATTTTCCCGATTACTGCTTATACTCGTATTACCTCTATCACTACGGGATTCGAATCGACCACTGCATCTCTGTGCTAATGTGGTATGGCAACTGGAACTGATGTACGTACGTACGAAGTTCTACGTTGTTACTGACTGACTGACTGAAGCTCTTTAAATAGTTTGCACATACCTGAAGAATTTTTGCTAGATAGGATGTTCTGAGTAAACATTAATTTCAGACATCTGATCTCTAGGTTTATTAGACCATTTAGCTTTCGAGCTTCAGTGGAGTTCTCCCTGTAAATTCTTTCCTTTACCCTCGTTTTAGTCCTGCAGATGCAAGTCGATCAAAACGTACAAAAATGGTTTAAGTGCGACAATATATATCAAAAAAGAATTTAAGATAACAAGTAATAACACCAAAGGTGTTCTCCATTGAGTCATCTGTAAATAATCGCCAGTTTGTCGTAAAAAACATGTTATTCAGATTTCAGATATTTTCTTCTACGTAATTTCCTTATTCGACTTTCTTCGTCTGGTGTAAAAGTGTACCATTTCCAAGCTTACCACATACTTTAGGTAGAACACGAATCATAAAATGATTGGAACTAGACAATGAAACACGTTTATGAGTCACATATGTTCCCACATCAATTATAAAAACTAAGTCCAAACGAGTGGAAAGATCTACTATATTTTGGTGACCTAGTGATGAAAGAAAGCTACAGTCACGTGAATTAAAATCACCACATACAACGGAAGGCAGTAAAATCAAATTCAGTGAATTCGTCAGCGAAAACAGATAGTGCAAATGATGTGCAGTCCGCACTCGCGTAGATGTTGGTAACATAAATAAGATTGTATTGATTCGAGTGCTTTGTACGGCACCTTTAAGTTAAACAGTCGATAAAGTCGTTTGGAAGCTTAAAACATACAAGAGTAGATCGACACCAGTTTACCTTTACAAATGTAGCTATACCAGTGCCATACCTTTTCTTATTGCTTGATCGATCCTGATGATAGACATTGAAATTTTGTAGTAATACTAAGCAATCATCTTGTAAGTCATTTAAGCAGGATTCTTGAATCGTGATTATACCACAATTACGGTACATGTTTTGACTTAGTAGGAATTGAAAATAGTCTATCTTACCAATTAGTGATCGGCAGCTAGAATTCAGCAGTTTAGGAATTGACATCTGATTAATGTTCATTCTTTTCAATACATATTGCCAGCCATCACAATGTCTCTGATTTTACTTTTTGTAACTTGTGTGGCGAAGGGTCGTAAACTTTTCATAAACGCTCTTGAATAAGTTATGCGTTTAATAGACACAATGATGTGTTAAAACAAACAAAAACAGGTAACTTGTTGAAATGTTTAGATGGGAGGAACAGGTAGCTCAGATATTCAAGCGGGCCACCGTACTATTTATTTAACGATCAAGAATCTATGTTGCATCATTACAATACGTTTCTTTCAATTCATTCCTAATCTGGTAATCTAGATTATCTACTCCGGTTTAACTGTCATTTTCAGAGTTATTAGTGTTAAGTTTTCATAATATTCTCACTCCTCAGTGTTTGAAGTTGTACATAGAGATCTGGTCAAGTTGACTGTAATAATTGATATATTCATAAATTCCTAATTGTTTATATGCTTGGTTGTTTGTTTTCCAGATGATTTCTACCAATTGAAAGCATCACTTCATCGATCAGATTTGTTTTCTACCCATTTTATACGAGATTTTATAATGGAACAAGATTTTCCTGTAAATAATATTAACTCATACAACCCAGTTCGTCATACTCCATTTGGTTTTAGTATACATTCCCTGCCATTTTCTAAGTCAACTAATCAAATTGAATTCATTCAAGATAACAAAAATTCACATTGGGCTGCCTTACGCATTGGATTATTGAATAAAATTAATGGTGTATCACCAAGTTATTTAAGTCTACCATATAGTAATTCGTTAGATCTTCTTGGTTTAACATCTTTAATAGAAGGGCAATGGATGTGTTTACCAAAGTTCTCATCATCCACAACCCATTCAGGTAAGTTAGTGTCAATGTGTTTCTAATATTCGTTTTTATTTAGGAAAACGTACACATTTTGTTTTGATGTTCATCATATTCGTGATAAGAATCATACTACTTATCAATAGCTTAAGTATGTTGAGTCATAATACCAAATTAATCTCAGGGATAAGGTTGTGTAGTAATAACACATTGTCTACTTCATTTGATATAGTTTCATACCCACAATTGCTGATCTACTCGTATTACCTGAAACTTGACAATTAAACCTAAGTATAATGACTAGTTTATAGCGCTAGTAAGCATGTATTCATTATAGGATGTAATAGAAGTTCGGATTCCATGACAACGGATCCGGTCAGTACACCTTATCCAGCTCTTAAACATGTCCAGTTTTAATGAGTTTTCTCTTTCAAAAAGCTGAACACCACTTAATAGCTACCTGCAAATAATGTCTCTAATCCTTATACTTCACTAATACATTTGTTTAGAGGTCTATTTATCTCTAACCAATATCCATAAACATTCTAAAAATATACCATCATATTTTACCCCTGTACATTATTTTTATGTTAGATATAACCACTACTGCGTCTATCATCAAATTAAATTTCGTCCCCAAAAAATCTGGTCATGGACAAACGGATTTCCAAGCAAGCTAATTGAAGATCAAAATCGATAAAGGTTTTCCACCAGGAGATTCAAGAGTTAACTTTCAAGATTCATTTCTTTCTTATTTAAATATATTCTGTTTGAGTGCTAAAATTACTACTACACATGTGTTGTTATACTTTAATATGATTGCATCATCGACGTTTCTGTTTTTTGGCACTCTCCTTTTATTGTAAATTTAGATAATACTTGGTCTTCAGTTGATCCATCGATCATATGGATTGATCCATTAAATCAAATAATTTTAGCACGTCATTCCGGTCAAGGAGTATTAACATTTTCTTTAACATCTTCATTAAAAACTTACCAACAAATCGAAACAATAAAAAATACAACTTATTCAAATATCAAGAGTGAACCACTTACATATTTACTTAATGTACAAGTTATTCCACTTGAATTATATACATCTGGTATACCATCTACAAGTTTAATATTTGTTGATTCTGGAAATAATGTAATACAAAGTGAATCTATCATATTTCCTATTGGAGTTGATCGTCTATCACGAAGTGAATCATTTCTATCAATGTTACGTTTTCTTATTCAATTACCTATCAAAGAAAGGTTTGTTTTAAAAATTATTTCTATCTTCTTTTTTTAATTAATCACGTTATATTAATTAAACATTTTATATTTTCTTGACTCTATCACGAATTTAAAGTTCAGTCACAGTTAACTGTTTTTACTATACAAATTGCATTGGATTACTTTATGGAAGTATATATTTCACTCGACCTTCTCTCAAACACTTTATATTCAGCAAGTTACATTCATTAAAAAGAATCATAATTTGACTATGAGTATGCCTTAGTCATTGAAATTGAGTGTAGTAATCTAAAGTCTGGCATCCTTATCATGTTTATTAGAATATAACTTAGATTTAATCCAAAAGAGATGACTATGTAAATCCATTGAACTGTCGTGTCAAATATTTCATAATTCTATTCAATTAATCAGTTGATATTGACGCATAGTGAGAATTGTCATGAAAGATTTAGTTGTTTAAAGTTATTCAATTTAGTTATGTCAAGATATGTATTGATCTGAATATGATTTGCCAATTTTTCTTTCCGGTAACCCTTTCCCACATACATTTAATTTGACTGAATATACGTTTAGCTCAATGATATGTCAGATTAAGTTATGTGAAAATAACGCTAAAAACTCTATCGCAATCTTTAGAATAATGGCAAAAGGATATTTTTTGAAGAATATCATTCTTTAGGTTGTTCGCCTCTCATCTAATTGTAACTAGGATATCAATGAACTAATATATAGCCCCCAAATGCCCTGGTACGGCCGAGAGTGGGGAGAGTCCGCTCTCCCTCTCGAAATGCTCTCACATGGCCACGCGTATACAGCCACTACCAGGGAAGTCCTACTCATTGCCTTCTCGTAAAGGGGTGTTGTTCACGAAATCGAGAGGATGAAAAGCGAATGTCCGGCACTTTAACCGGGTTGGTGGACATGGAGAGTTCACCTAAGGGAGTTGGAAAACCCTGATTCCAAACCTATGATGCACATGGGCTTCAGTATCCTGAAGGAATAAATGGCGTATGAACCAATCGTTGGTCACCGGCTACCATGAGACTGCATATCCTTACGATGCTCCATTGCCTTGTGGATCAGACCTTTAGGTCGAAGGCTCCGGGTGTGGCCCTCTAAGAAAACCACCTGCTTCGGTTTGGGCGCCCAGGCAGTATCACAGCCCTCACACATATCAAATGAGATTTGTGTGGCGCATATCTATTTGGTGCCTCCTTGTACCATTATCTTTAATATATATATATATATATATATATATATATATATATATATATATATATATATATATATATGATTTTCATGATCTTTTGATGATATTTATGTAGAACATAAATTGAATACTTTCTTTAGTGCTTTCTCCAAGGAATTCTATCTTCACCTTTTAAAGCTTTTTGCGTACTTCGCAACGTGCATATTACTTTATTTCTTATCTTCAAAGTGTGGTGTTACTAATTTCTAGACTATTCCTGAATAATAAGTTGATAAATTTTTTAGATTTACAATGTTCATGGAGGTTAAAGTGCATTATATAACCTTATTCTAAGTACTATTAAAATTTATCTCAGCTATCAGTTAATCAAACATAATGGACGTAGGATGTGACTCAAGTGCTCACATAAGCTTAAGTTTTCACTCCATATCTTCCCACAAAAATAATATTAACGAAATACTTAGCATATAAAGAAGTTGAAATATTGACAATAAGAATATGAACTTAGTATGGAGAAAAAATAAGCTTATAAAATAAAGGAGTATGAAATAATCTTAAAATTCAGAAGTAAAAAGAAGATAATTGATGAATAGTGCATACTCGAATCATCGCGATCAATTTCGAGCTTTGTTCCTAAACATCTCCAACTATTAATAGTGATTGTCCTACTAATGGTTAAAGCCCTCAACTTTCAATCGTTAGGTCCTATGTTGAGATTCTACTTTGATTCGAATAGACTAATAGTATAACTAGCCCTGCTATAAACAATATATGGCCAAGTTGATAAATTTCAGTCTTCGTGTAATATCCTTTTTTTATTGTTCAAGCCTAAAACATACTTTAATATGTTGTAGTTACTAAGTGCTTTCCAAACCTAAAAATTTAACAATAATTGTTCTAAATGGAAATATCGTTATAATACTTTGTGATATTCTTTTACAGCAATGATATCCCATGCTCTAAAACATCTGGATCACTTTTAACATTTGAAAATTTCGCTCCATTCAAATGTCAAATTCAATTACAAATAGATGATGAATTTCATATTGATTCTAATTATCGTTCAAGTCTATTACCGAATTGGTTCTCACATTTACTTCTTTGGGAGCATAATGAAACTGTTGAATCAATTCTTGAGTTAGAATCTGCTAAATTTTCACTACAACGATATATTACAACTCAATTAGAACCTTTGTCACAATCCTCACCATTCCATACAAGTTCTACACAATGGCAGTGTGTTATAAAATCTCCTACAACATGGTCGTTGAATGTTGATGCTATTGCTCTGACACTAATGCCTAAAACACGAATGGTTTTACAATTGGTTAAAACACAGTTATCTGGTAATATTGAACAGGGAGAAAATTCATCATTGATTGCTCAAACATCGTTACTTCCTTTGCCAGGCATTAGGATGCTTATTCCTCCCTCTGTTAAACTACAAGAAGATAGTCACATGTCTGCGTCTAAAGATTGTAAGTATTTATTCTTTTTTTCTGTATTATGTTTAATTGACAAGTTGTTCCCAATTTTTCAAGTTTTTTTTAGTTCAATTTTGGACGATACAAAATTGAACACAAATGTGTATTTATTCAGGATTTTACTGTTACACTGGTGGTGAGATCAACTCAAATGAGAGGCAGAAAACAGAAAATAACACTATTCATATCAATAAACACTAGATTTAAAGTGAATCCAGTCACACGACTATGACCAATTTCGTATTATGTTGCCTATGGTCTCCAACAATTGTTACCCAAATCCCAAACAGTGGGTCTGCCTCTTTTTTTCTTTCTCAGATTGAGTTATTGTCTTCATAGGCTAATTTCATAGTTTGGTTTTATGTATTTAGCATTTTCTCAGCTTACTGTTCTCCTAGCTACCCTTATATATCAAAGTAGTTGGCTATTGATTCTGTTATGACACATGGTTCAATCCTCTTAGTTAATTTTTTTAGTGTCGTTGATGTTTTGTGATCATTTTATATCTTTCCACGAAGTTTACTGTCACATAATCGCATTTAATTCTTGATCTCTTTTTAAAATAATGTCTATGCTAATTATGTATATGACTTCATGAATTGTAACATGATCCCATTAAATTGAAATAAACTAATTAATCACCGTTATTTTTGTAGAATAAGGTTTTGTTCTTGTATTTCCTATTGTTATATGTTTTATTTTATTAAATTCATTCAATCTACCTGAGTTTGGGTATTCAATCGTTATCAGATGTGATACATGTTTGTCATGTATACCGAATGCTAACCAACTAATTTTTTAATGACGAATAAAAATATCACAAGTGATGAGGTATTCAAAATTAAATGTTGTAACTAGACATTAACTATGAGTGATCAAGTCATTGTCAACAATATTTTACGTGTATACCACTTGAAAAGTCTTCTAAGAATAAACTATTTGATTGATCTATTCATATAAATGCAAGTACCACGTACTTGTCCTTCATTTATTTTGCACTAACATTGTTAAATACATAATTTCAAAGATTGCTGATGTCCAGCTTATCGGTACCAATCCTTCGATGATATATTTTCTAGTTGTATAAACATGATACTAATAAGTCTTTATTACCCTCCTGAAATTTAATATTGTTAATGGAGTTATTTGCGTTGGATTATATCCATTCACTCATTTTTGTTGTTGATGTTGAAAATCTATCATATTTTATATTCGTAGTTTATTTCTGTTGGAAATTCTTGTTAATCAAAACATTTCTTTTTGACATCCACCACTATGATATCTGTAGAGTTTGTTTTGTTCTTGCCTTATTTTAGCTTACCAGTTTTGGATTACTGAAACTGATCATTTTACTAGACGATTATTGATTTTCATTCCACCAGCCACTTCATTTGCATTGAATATGCAAGAATTAGGACCAGACAAACTGTTAGTTAGATCACAATTCCCTGAAATCTTAGAAATTGTTCAATCACCAAGACCTGTTCAAAGTTTGCTTGAAGTTGTGGATATTTACAAAGAATACAGTCGGAGTTTTTCCTCTTCACTAGCTTCCACTACATTGGCATCATATCCTAGCAGTGTGACAACAGAATTATCCCATTGGCTTCATGTAGTTCACGAACAGATTGGCAAAATTGAAGATGATGTAGTATCGGATTTAAATCCATCCATATTAAAACACAAAGTCTTATGGCTAGTACAAGTAAAATGTATCCCTGGTGATTCTCGTAAGTTGTTTTGTTTCTGTCTTCTCTTCTACTTTATAAAGGTGCCTCCCGTTTTTATTTACCTTCATATATATTATTATTTTCATTTTTTAATATCACTTATTCAATTGTCAGTTGCTAACACTTCATACACTAAATAAACATTGATGTCATTTCCATAAACAGCTTCTAATTAATCGAAGTTATTCAGTAAAAATGTAGTCATCAAGATTCCTTATCACTGATTTCATTTCTAATGTAATTTCATGATTAAGTATTTGCGTCTGTTGTTTCTCATATATGATTAATCCAATTGTGTAAATATAAGATCAGAAACAAATTATACTCATGCTTTCATGACTATCTTATTGGTTAGTTGTACTTGTCCTTAGGATTCTTGTACATCCTCAATCCACGTATACTAAAATTTTCAGATGAGTTTGCATTAAGCTCATCAGTTGTGTTTATGATTAGGTAGGAATTTTTGTTTCTCATAACGAATCAATTATTGATTAATAAAATGCTTGATGAAGTTAGGATAATTTTCGACATTAAAACGAATCTTGTCAGACTGATTTAAGAAAATAGAACCACTGAACTTTGTAGCAGAAATTCCTATTTCTGACGTTCCATGACTTGATGTAAATCACTTCTTCAAATGTCTTAAGAATAATTAATTAATTATTATGAACTATTGAATGTTATTAAGTAGTATAATGTAGCATACAAAAATGAACGAACAAGGAAGAAATGGAAAATATGAAGATTAAGCAATAATGTTCTTAGTAAATAGAAAATAGATAACTAGGAAAGATACCACTAAAACTCATTGTACATTTAGTAATACAAATAAAAGTAAACCTCTTATACCCTAATATTTTCATGAAGTTGTTTAACAGTTAAAATACTCAGTCAGTCAGTCAGTGACAACGTAGGACCAGGCACATACATGCATCGGTCCAAGTTGCCACACCTCATTAGCACAGCAAGATGAACACCGAATTCATAGAAGCAGTTAACTCAATGGTGTAATACATAAAGGAAAGACTTTATGTAAGGTTATAGTACTCAGCTTGAAACCATCAAGCTCCCCAACTTTTAACTTCATTCAACTTACTCCAGTTCTACCAATTTGTAAGTATCATAAACCATCGCATATTAAAAAATAAATTTGAATATTGTGTACATAAATCCGTACTTGGTAACTGAGTTACATTATTGTTTATGTATTTGTTAAGCTTTTTCCTTTTTGTTATCCATATAATTTTCCTCACTTTTTTTTTATGATCTAAAGCTATTGATACTCTGGTGAATGTTGTGTTAAGCCTTCGTTCAACCGGTCAACACATTGAAATTCCTGTACGAATTAATCTACCATCATTAAATCAATTAAGTAACAAAGAAATGATAAGTTCAAAACCATCGTTCTACTTATTAAATTTCTCTTGGATTCATCTTTTTGCTATGATTATAATTACATTGTTTATTGCGATTATCAGTAAGTTGTGTTTAGTTGATAAATATACTTTTTTTTTATTTTATACACCATTATTCTCGTTCATTATTTATATTCAAACAAAAATCATATAGTGATAATAAGATTATCAATAGGAAAGTATAGAAGATATTTGCCCACTAGACAAATATGAGTAATGTACAAACAGAGAGGTAATAATCACTTTTTTTTAATTAAAAAAAAAAGTTAAGTATAGAAATTAATGCCTTGGTAAGATAATGGATTGTGCGTGTTACTTATCTAACCACTAATAATTTAAGGGTTTGAACTGATAGTTTTTTTTGTTTGTTTCTTCCTTAGATACGAATCAATCCTATTTTATGACCTCTGTAAAAGTTAATATTTGAATAGAATGAAAGCGTTTTGTTTTGTTTTGTTTTCAGTATTCATAATTACTTAGCAGTTAGTTTTTAAATAACCATTGGATTGTAAGATTAATTAAATAAACATTATCATGAATATTGATGAAGTTGTCTTCTAAGCTTACAGTTTAAACATAGACTTATATACTTTTCATATCCTTTGTAAAATAAATGATGCTGAGGAATCCCACAACAGGACGAAACGGCCATCCAGTGCTCCTAGGTTTTCAATGGTGGTCTAGCTTCAATTGACTCATGATCTCAAATATTGAAATAAATAATAGTTCAATGTCTAGTACCTTATTAAGTTTATTAGTTTAGTACATATTTCAGCTGTTTAGTTCTTCTCTTTCGTTTTAATCATATAAACTTTATTTTGTTGGTTAATATGTCTTTTCAATTATTTTCGATTGATTGTAATCTGTGTGTATTTCTATTTTAATCTTTTTTTCCTTTATCTGTAGTACATATTATATTACGCAGTGAGACATTGATAAGTTCTTCGAATAATTCAAACATTGGAAAATATTCACCTGGTCCTCTACCTTCATTAGTCAAAGGAGGATTAAGTCGATCACCTCCTGGTCGACAACTGTGGAGTCAAAATTTTATTCCTGGTGGAAGTCCTAATACAATGCGTCAACCATTTTTAACATTTGATGGTCTTCGTTCATCGAATGTTTCATCATCTCCAATCCATCCACAAAATCTTTCCCCAAACACATCATATAATACTGCTCAACGTATCTCTCCCAGATTTAATCTTGGTACAAGCGGTGATTTAGTTAATGATGAGAGAAGATGGCGTCAAGCTCTTAGTGGTAGTACCAATCGTTTAAGAGATAGTTTCGAAGGATAAATCATTTTTCTGTTCATATTTTTTATCCTAGTGTGTTATAAAGATTTTGTTTCGATTATAACATTCCTGTCGAAAATTCCACTTAGAATAAACATTTTTCATCGTTGTTAATCTGGTTGTTGTTTTTTCTGAATATTACGCTTTCTTCGAACGTGCTGATAAAAGCATTTATCTGTAGATCATATCTAAACTGACTATATATCCATTTCCAGAATTCACTCCACTTTCTACTATTGTCCCTAGGTTTTTTCTTCCGTTATCTTGATGTTATATTTTTTAAAAACAAACTTATAAATCATGTCATTTGTTTTCTGTATTAAATACATACTGGTATTCGTTTTTTTGTGTTAAAAGTTTCATATTCAATATACGTCATTGAATTAATAGTGTCTATTGCATTCATTTTAGTCATTGTCTCCTGTGTCCAGGATACTATCCTTTTAGAAAAATCTGGACTTGGTCTTCGTGCTAGTTAGCACTCCGAACTACGAAATATTTGTAATCTTGGAGAAATCGATACTACCCTTGAGAGGGTGATCCTCATCATTTAGTGTCTGTAAGAGGTGATATTTCCAGGGTTCCCTATCGATTGCTTACAATTAAAAACTACGAAAGATGTTGCATAGCAACGTTGATTTACTTAGATTAGTGGCTACATTACAACTTAACTGACAGAATTCTATCACCACTAAGGATCATACAAGTATGACATTGATTAGTACTTCATGAGCAATTAGTGTAAAATGTTATCATATTAGTTGAGTTAAACTGTTGTCCGCTTAGGATCCAATACCATTCTTGCTTATGAATTGGTCTGAAAAACTTAGTCGAATAAGCTCGTATAACCAATAAACAGTTATATTCACATGTAACTATAGATATCAACAATATCATCTGTTGGGAATTTATGAAGATTGTAATGCTTCCTTCTGTTGTAACAAGAAAAGCTGGAAATATATTATGTTCGTTAACTTGAATGCTACTACTGATTCGTCTTACTAGGAACGGAATGAAGAATCAAGGATTCAGAGACTCGATAGGCTTGCTAGATTTGAAGCTATCACGAGTTCACTTAATCGGCGAACGAGAACAGGACTCGGTGACCAAAAACCAGTAAGCTAGCTATTGATGCATCCCAGCCCCGCTAACTAGAGGTAGAAGTCCAAGCTTGGAATGGGAATTATATTCTGCAAATCAGCCAGAAACGAGCGATAACAACAAACACAATTCAAAAAGTATATATACAGTGCAAAACGGTCCTTGGGGAGAGTTACCAAACAGCATACTAAAAGACACAACGGACCAACAGCGTTTAAGATATTTCTCAGTGGGAAATACGACATGAAGGTGACAAGAGCACCTTTGGCGTGAGAACAAAGAAATTCAAACTTTCTAAATAAATTACAAAATTAGGTCCTTTTCCAAGTGAGTTCTGGGGATCTAACGTCCCCGACAAAATACTTGTTTTCTTTATCACTATCTGAACCATTCTTTATGGTATATAGGTCGTTCTATTTGGTCATATATCGTTCTTTTTCCTTTGTATCTTGCTTTATTACTTTGTAACTCGTAATAAGTTCACTTTCTGTGTAAATTACATAAATTTATGGATCTGCTTGATTCTCAGTCACTTTACAGAAAGAAAATGTGTGTGTGAGAGAGAGAGAGAAAATAACTCTCTACTACAGGAATTTCCATTTTCTACACTTTCTTATTTGTTATGTAACATTTTAACAGCATATTTTTTATATGAGAAAGACAAAACTTTTATATATCAACTCACTTATTCCATGTTTATTATATGTAATTATATACAAAGATTGATATGAAAAATAATCTGTCAACAACCATTGATAATAAATTAATTACAGTTGAAAAATTAGTTGGTTACAAAACAAAAACAAAATGTAAGTTAAAAGTTTCTTGTCACGAAAAAAATTATAGAAAAGAAAAATTCTCACATTAGTAAATAGAATCAAAAATAAAATAGTTGTCTATTACCTTTTTAGTTTTTTTTTATTGTTTCTTTTTAGTGAATGAATCATGAAAAACTATCTGTTTTTCGAAATTCTATCAAGATTGTTTTATTAGTCTAATGATTGTACTGTGAGTTTATTTATCACATTAAGCCTTATTATTATTTATATCTGTTATCCCTCGTAGAGGAGGATAGGCTGCCCATCAACATTCTTTATCCAACTCTGTCTAGGACAACTCTTTCTAGTTGTTTCCATGTGCTATTCATTCTTTTCATATCTGATTCCAATTCTCAAAGCAATGTGTACTTGGTCTTCCACTTTTATGTTTTCCTTCATGATTCCAAGTTAGAGCTTGTCTCGTGATGCAGTTTTTTGATTTTCGCCATGTATGTCCTATCGACTACCAACGTTATTTCCTAATTTACTCTTCAGTTGGAATGTGGTTTGTTTTTTCGCATGGTGGGTTGTTTCTGATAGTATCCAGTCAACGCACATTGAGTACCTTGTGTAGACATATGTTTATAAATACTTGTACATTTTTGATGATGGTTGTGGTAGTTCTTGAAGTTTCATCTCCGTTCAATAAGACTGTCTTGACTTTCGTATTGAAGATCCTGACTTTGATAATGGCTTACAGACAGTTGTTTTGAGTTCCATATGTTCCTCAATTGTAAGAATGTGGCCCTTGCTTTGCCAATCCTCACCTTTACGTCTGCATCCGATCCTCCTTGTTCATTGATTATGCGTCCCAAGTACATGAAAGGTTCCACATCTTCCAAAGCTTCTTCACCAAGTGTGATTGTGTTCGTGTTCTCTATGTCCTATCGTTCTATGTTGTGCCTTTGACATCAAGTTAAGTGAATGCGCACAAATTTTCGTTTATTCTGTAAATGATTTTCATCTTCAAACTCTTATCAACTGAAAACCACAGATCACTGATTAGTTTCCCGGCTGTGGTTTCAACAGTTTACACAGAATCGAACTCAGAAGGTTTAGGTATCATGGCAAATACTATGTATTTAAATGTAGTTGAAATTTACTTGTCTTTATTCTTGACTGCTCAATCTTCATCCAACTCTTATGGTGAGATACTGTCTCACTCTTTAATAATTGTCTAGTGCTTCCTAATTTTTGTTGATGTTATTTCGTGCTAAATACTACTTTCGAAATATACGTTATACTCTTAGTGGCAATAGGAATAATAATGAGAGGGAGCGGATACATATGGTATTAAACAGTAGAATAATACACTGTCCCATCACCTTTAGCAGACCAGACAACCCGGAAGACATAAGAACATCAGAACATACGACAGGCTAGATACCCGGATTAATCAATTGATTTTTGTTGTGCCGATTAGAGTAGGGTTTTGAAATCGACAATAATTATGTTAAGTAATTCTGATCATCCCTTCTGTAGAAATTTCCCGATAATAAATGCCTTTTAAGTCATAAAAGTGGATGAATAAAGCCACACTTGTTTAGTTACCTAACATTTAAAATTAACAGTATTTTCATCTGTTAGTTCACCCAACAATCGGTACATTCTTTTGGGACTTTTATTAAATAGCATTGAGAAATGCTCACTATATATGAGGACCTCAACTTTTAAACTTTTTTCAAAATATCTGTTAGTTTCGACTGAATAAAAGTTTTGAAAAAAAAACAATCAAGAAACGGATGTTAGTAACAAAAATTCCTAAAACCTGTCTAATAATTTTAAATAATCAAGATTTCCCGACTACCCATGTATTTTTCTAGTTTAGTGGATTTCCTGTCACTAGTTAACCTCAAAATCGGCAACTTTTCTGAATTACAACCTCAATTAGCATCCTTTTGACATATTATTATCTAATCAGTGTTGAGGATTTTTCTCGAGTCATCAAGATTCACTTAAAAACGAAATATGTTTCTTAATTAACTATCTAAACACCTGCAGTTGGTTGTTATTTTAATTAAATACTGTCAGCTTATAGACCACTAATCTCTATCTAATTGTTTTAAGCATAATATCATAACTCTAGACATTGCTTTTTTAAACTAAGTTCATTTTGAGTATCTTCAATCCAACTGTTCTTTCGTATGTAAACGATGTGACAATTATCTTGTTTGGTATTTGTACATGATAAATTATGATAATGCATGATATACGTAATCCGTGGAAAACTGCTCACTACATTTATACATGGAACCAGTTAGCGGATAATGTCCACAAGTCCCTTAGTTACTTTGATGAGACTTAAATACACTTTAATATACAAAGAATAGACAGTTTCATACCAAATGAATAAATGAACACAAAATATTGTAGGATTTCCTTTTAGAATTTCCAGAAGTTCAATCTATTAACCTTTATTTTCTATAAGCGAATCGGAAAACAGGCAGAAAAACGGTTCCTTCAATTACGAAGATATATTAGTGTTTACTTTGAAGAAAGTTTTCGACAGAAAGGAGGAAAATAGTCATCTAAATTGTTTTAAATAAACAATTCTCGTAATTGTTTAATGTATCCACATCATGGGAATTATGTTTTATATGCGATATCTATTTTAGTAGCACATATAAAATTGCTCACGCACTTGCTTCTGGTACTATGTGAGTATGAGGCTATAACATGTCTTCAAAGCCAACAGTATAAATATCCTAATATTTTGAATCAACAGTAAAAATATATTCCAAGTGATTTCACCATACCATATTATTATCATTGGTAAACCGAAAACTCGATTTCCCCATTTGTGATTGTGTGACGGACTGAAAACGTTATTATAAAGTTATACTACTTAAAAATAGAAAGTAGCTCAAAAGCAGTTCAGTGTAATTAAATATAGTCAGATCTGCAAGGTCTTCAATGTAGCTAAATGCCAACGCTCTTAGTTGGTACATACTAATAACAGAGTTACTTGCTGATTTAATATGCCAGATTTTTTTTATTTCAAAGCTAATAATAGTAGTTACACCAAATAAATACATCAGGACTCAGAAGTAACTACCAGAGTGCATTTTGTTTCAATTAACAGCCATCAATCGAATATCTCAACTTCTTAGTATTTATTAATGCTCCCTTTAAGATTTAAAAAAACATGAATGAGATCAAATTTCCAATTAAGTTCAACAAGAACTTATTTTGGTTAGTGAATAACTAGTTAATTGATAATACTTGACAGAAAAAATATCATAGTCAAATAACTTACTTTTTTCTTAATACCACTAAATCTATTTAAGGGG